TCAAGTATAGAGTAATAAACATGCGTTTAACACCACACAGTAATGCAACATATAGAACATGAGTTGGATACCAAACAGTAACACAACATGTGAGACACATGTGAGTTGAGGCAAAATGTCTGGAATTGGGTCTACAATTTCAGCATGTAAGTATTACGGAAATCATAAATGTGAGACTCCGGTTTATAAATATATGCATCGGTCATAAACATCCTTAATTCTGCTAGAAAAACGGATCATGTAATTCATAACCCATATCAAAAATAAACCATAATCTAAGAAGGGGTACACTTTTGACGGCATATCCCGATTATTTGTTACAGGTATATACCCCTGGGTTAGTATAACATGCGTTTAACACAAACCCCTAATATTGAAACGTAAAGAACATTAGTTGAAAACGACATGTAATTGAACATCAATCAGTAACGCAGAACATAACAAACACTGGATGAACAAGCAACACAAGCTATAGAACATAATAAACATAATGTAACATCATAACTACAATAAAACATGCACAATAGTAGATAATATATATAACTAATTCAAGCACAAAGAGACACGTGACATATATTTTTCTTTTGTTTTTGGTCCAATTAAATAGAAACGTGTACAATAAACACTTTTTTTCTTCTATATAAATTCGTCACAAGCCAATAACTGTGGAGAAAAGCAGTTTCTGTTTTGTTTTGTTTTTGTTTTTTGTGGGGGGGAGGGGTCTAGATCAATCTACTAACAGTGATTTTCACAGCCTTGTTATGTTTCTTGCTAAAATACAAATGCATTACGTGAAATTTTATACAACAACACAAAGTGTAATGACCGACGTGAACATTCTCAGCAAATGAATTTATCGGTTTATATTTAGTTTCTGTTTCTTCATTAATTCACAAAAAAAAAACACGCGACGGCGCGCTATTGACATGTAAATGAGGAACAGATGTCTTGTACATTTCAGCGATGCATTGCGTACGCGTGGAATGAAATGTATTAAATATAATAAACCGTGCATTTATCGGGATAATGCAACTCATTGCAAATTCTCCGTTGGGTTGTGTGGGTTCATGCGCAATGTGCCCCCCTGGCGTGTACATCAGCTGCACATACTGTTTAATGCCCGCGTTATCTGTTGACTAAAGACCAACAATGAATCCTAATATCATCCATTAAGTTGTTTCAATATTTATAATGTGTCATATATTGAATTTTTGTCCTCCACACATAAACAGTGATCAAAGCTCGCCTTCCAACATGTTGTGTACGTGCTGCACAATTTCACAGTGGGACTGCCCATTTGGGTGGTGTCAAGGACGGCTGCAAGCAACGCTGGCGGCATGATTTGAGTACAAAAAATATGCATTTTGCCGATACGTTACGAGATGGGTGTTCCATTACCGTCGATAAAAAAAATCGCAAGTCAGAGTCAGTCAAATATTCGATTTCATAAAGACATGTGTTGTGCATATAACGTGTATTGAATTGCGGCCGTCTGATATCGAGTATCAGTAAGACGTACGTGGGACTCGTGACCCCGAGGATCTGAAACTAATCACGATCCAATTTCCAACAGGGTGGCAAAAAGAGTCTCAGTATTAAATTATATGTTGAAGGGTGTGTTTTATTAAGAATCTTGATTGAAGATTTTATAAAAAAATATATATTTTACATATGGTTTCAATCAACATCGGGTAATGTACCGGCGATTGATTGATGCTCAGTTAACATTGCTTGAAAGATATAAATATGTTGTTTCCTTCTGTTGAATTATTTTAAGAAGGGGTCGCAACAGTTGAATGTATAGACATAGATTATAATGCGTTCATCGACTTCCATGACCCTTTCAACCAAGGAAAATGCGCATAACATTATTACCGGAAGTATTATTAGAAACGTCTACAAATCATGGGAACACTATCTCACATGGATACACTGACTTGCCCGTACACGCGTACACCCGTGTGTATTTAGCGGTATCAGTTGAAGACGCATACGAATCACTGTTGACGTTTAGTACTGAAGTACATATTAATGTGCACGGGGAATAATTGAAATTTGTTCCACCACATCGAGAACTGATAATTCTTCTATGACATATGTATCGTGTGCCCCCGCCCCATCCCACCGTATGGGTTGTTGAAAATTGACGATCATACAATCGCTTCTAGTAACTCTACCAATAAACCACATATAACATATATGCTCAGTGAATTGTATTGTGTTTGTGAACGAGGATATGTGGGACCTCTCGGCTTATTACCGGCGTTGATCATAATCTCAACTACGTATCGGAGCGAGTCTCGTAAGACTGTTAAATCATCTCGTGCGTGAACATTGCCGTCCAAAGAGTGGAATTATTCGTCGTGATAATAAATGTCGACGAGAAACACGCAGATACAAGCTCCTCCACAGAGGCTGGTTCTCGTTCACATCCTGTTTTCGTGCTTCTGTATTACCATAATCTGAGCAAAGTCACGCGGGAAATACTTCAAGTTCGTACCGAAGTATGTCAGTATGTCTGTCTGTCTATCCGGTCTGTCTGTCTATCTGTCCGGCCTTGTCCAATTCCAATTCCAATGCTAATTATCTGTATAGTTCAGGGTTATTTTTATCACAGTTTGTTAAAATATGTTGAACATTCTTACATGATACTGTTTATGCAATTGAATATCTGACAGTGGTTTAAACTTTTCATCGTCAGAGGAGTAAAAAAAGCGGTTAAGATATAACGACAAATTAATCATTCCAGTGCATGAACGAATATAGCAATTTCAAAGTACGTATTAAAATGTGTTATTTTTGTGGGTGTTTTCTTACGTTTCGTGGAAATCTAACGAAACAGAATGAAATGCAATGATGCCATATGGATTAGTTATCTAACAACTTCATGAACCTCCTTGAATATTCCCATGGAGGCAGCCGGAGTCTAATTTGAATAATCGCTATGTGTGTAAAATTAAATTCACGACAAATTTGTCATATGTAGGTTCGTAACACAGGTGGTAATATTCTCATTTTTGCAAGCGTTCGTTAAAGATTACAGTTTGTTTCATTTCTGCCGTTTACCTTGTTCTACGTACATACAGTCTGGTGAACGTTTACAAGAAGAATATACTGTTAGTAATTGAAACATGATTTGCGTGAGCTCAGTGTGTGCTCGGTAGGCATTACGTGAACCAGTTGGTGCTTTTCAAATCAGAATTACGCCTCATTCGTCATTCTTGGTCTGCGGTCACAATGTTTCTTCGTTCTGCCGTTTACCTTGTTCTACGTACATACAGTCTGGTAAACGTTTACAAGAAGAATATACTGTTAGTAATTAGTCCCCGTTCGGACGCAGTCCGAAAACGGGGACTTATGTTTTGACCTCCGTGCGTG